AATATTTTAATATTTAATAAATTTAATTAAATAAAAATATACATATTCTATATGCTTATATAACTGAATTAATATTAATTTAGATTGATTTATAACTTTTTAAGTTTTGAGTTAATATTAAATTGCTTATCTAATTAGAATTGATTAGCATTAGTTTATAGTTAATTGCTTGTTTGATTGAAGTTAATCAGCAGTATTTTAGACTGATTTATAATTGATTTAAGTTTTGGATTGATGCTAAATTGATATTTATTTTAGGCTAATTTGTGGTTGAATTTAAGTTTTAACTAAATTGATATTAAATGGTTATATCTGATTAGAATTGATTAATAATAATTTAAACAATCAAAAGATAAATGAAAATATGACCAATTAGTTATAAATAATATTAAATCAACCTAAAATTAACCATCTGATTTTTAGCTAATTTGAACTATTCTGTCTAGTAAATTATTATTTTATTTAAATTAATTTTAAAGATTAAAATGTAAGCTTCTTGTTTATTATACTTATTTCATAATATTGTATTATAATTATTTCTACTTTTATGATATATAAGATTAATATTATATTTAATATCCTTTGGATTTCTTGTATTAAAATCTATTTTTGAATCTAATTAGCAAGAATTTATATATATTTTAGTTTAATATTTAACAAATCTATGGTAATTTTTTTATGATAAAAAGTTAATATATATTGATTTAATATAGTATTTATCATATAAGATAACATAATATCTTTAAAGAACGCTTCAAATAATACTTTCTTAAATGGATAAATATTTTTATTAAAATCTTTCATAAAAATTTTAAATAATTAAATGTATGTAATAAATTAATTTAAAGTATCTTATAAAGTCTTTAAATTCTTTTTATTTTAAATATTTACATTTGTTATCATTTTCTATAATTCAATTTATTAATTTATAAATCATCTTTTTTAATTAATCCAGATAAGATATTTTCATCTAATGTTGAAAAATTTGATAAATAAAAAAAGATTCTGAATTATCACTTATAATTTAAATAATAATTTTAGAGTTATTTATAGTTTCTAATTAGAAAACTATATAAAAACTTTAACAAAATTTTGTTTCAATTATTTGGTTTAATTTTTAATTAAATATTCTTATACAGATGTAATCAATTTATTAAGAAGTAATTCATTAGATACTAAGATTAGATCAAAGATATCAGAACAATAATTTTCATGAAATCAGCATAAAAATATTTAAAAATAATTTAAAATTTGAAAAGTTTAGTAATTTATTCAATATTATTGGTTAATATTATATGCTAAATGTAATATAGAACTTAAAATATTAATAAGAAAAAAAATAATTTTTTAAGTTCTTTATAAATTTTTTATTAGAAAAAAATTCAGGTACTTTTATTATCTAATAATCATATCAAAAATTATTAAAGAAATATTTGGTTTACTTACAGTGCACGACAAAAATTTTCAAAATAAAATTTAATGTAAAAAATCACGATTTTCTCTCACAATATATAATCTATTAATTAACTATTTCATGTGATTATACAGTAGCCATTTTTAGATATGATTATTATATTTATTTAGATTTTATTTATATCGATCAATTTTTATACAAATTTATTATAGTTTATATTATACAAGAATAATGCTAAACTGTTATAATAACTTTGTAAAAATAAAGAACTCATAATGTTAAAGCTTTGCATAAAATAACTTTTATTCTACTCTTTACCATATATAACTATATCAAAAAACTAAAAAAAGTTTTTCTATAAAAGATTTACTTCAGTCAAAAAGGCTAAAAAAGCTTTTTTAAGAAAACATTATCACCTTGAAAAGCTTGTTTCAAAAAATAAATTTCTTACATGTGCTGAGTTTGCAAATAATTTGAATAAAATACATTTCAACCTTAATATATCTATAACTTTCAATATATTTGTAAAATTCTAAAGTTCATTCCATTATTTATAGATCTTCATAAGTAGTATTGTATAGAATTTGCAATGAAATACCAAAGATAAAATTGGAATTAAGTTGTCTTTTCTGATGAGACTACATTTTAAATATTTTAAAATACATAAAGGTATTTTATAAGGTTGGTATACAATTTTCACAGAAACCTATGGTTAAATATCTGTATAAAGTTCATGCATGGGATGCATTTTTGGCTAAAGGCCAAGTTGGGTTTCTTCTTATTACTGGAATTATAAATGGGGTATTTTATCAAGAAATTTAAATGAAAACCCTTTTGAAAATGCAAAATATGTAATGGAAAGGTATTGGGTCTTCCAACAGGACAATAACCCTAAACACATGACCAAAAAAACTAAAAAATTTCTTTCTGAATGATGTCTGAGGTTGTTGGATTGGCTATCAAATAGCCTGGATTTAAATCTGATTGAGAATTTGTGGTCAATTATGAAAGGACGTGTGGAAAAAGAGGTCAACAATCTTGTAATTAAAAAAATCCATTATTATAGATGTTTTTATTGATGTAATTAAAAAAGGGTGGGAGGGAATTGAGCCTGAAATTCTTCTTAATTTGGTTCGTAGCATGCCAAACGATTGGAATAAATAATTGAGGGAAATGGTAATAAGCTAATCTATTGACTCAGCTTAATATTTTTTTTCGTTATATAATGAAATATATAATTTTAAAATTTCATGTATTTTCGAGTCGTTTTCGAAGTATAATAAACAAAAACGTAATTCTGAAAACTTTCGTCACGCACTGTAAAGTCAATCATGTTATTTTTCTTTGTAATCCAATTTTGCATGAGCGTTCTTTTAAAATAAGGTGATTGAGACTTCAAGATAATTGAATGAAGCATTAAATTCTTTTTTTCCAATTCTAGTAATGATATCACACAATCTTCTGCATCATCAAGCAATTGAGAAAAATCCTGGGATAATCTAGGAAAATATTTGATAGCTTTTCAAAGTAAGAGGCTCTTTTATAATATAAATTAACAATGACGTGTAACACAAACGTATTGCAAAAAAGTGTGATATTTTTTAAGTATAACATGATCCGATGAGACATTACGAAAAATTTTCAGTTTAAGCAATTTCTCTGATACCAATCCACATAAATTTCTAAGGAAATGTTTCCAGATGTAAATGTCCATAACAATTACTATCCTGATATGCCATTGCCAACAAAAGATTGCGCTAAATAAAGGTCACATGTATAAATCCTCAATTATTCAAATGCTTTTATACAACTTGGCGCACCAAAGTACTTTGTTATATATGATCAATTATTTCATTGTTTTAAATATTATTTATGATTAAATTATTTATGAAAAGTTTAATTATTTACGTTTATTTATTGTTATTTCTGATTCGAACTTGGATAATATATTCAAGAAAACTAAATTTATTTTCCAGGAAGGATCAAAGATTGAAATTTTTTTAAAAAGAAAATAAAAACAAAAGTTACAGCACCCAGTATTCCCACGCTGTCCTCAACCGTAGTACTGACTGGGCCATCTGTGGCTTAACTTCGGAGATCGGACGGGTTTCGGTGCTTTTCACTGTTTATGGCCGTAATTATTTATACATTAGAACTTATTGATAATTATTTTAAAGAAAGAAAAAAGGAAGTTCATTTCGTTAAAAAGAAATATGTATAAAAAAATAAACTCCTTTTTGTAATTACACGTTTCGAATTCACCTGCCATAAGTCATTTGAAATTCAAATTGAGCTTTTTTTATTTTAACTTATTTTTCTACTATCAAATCTATTTTTTGTTGCAATTAAATTTGTGCAATCTAAAAAATTATATAAAGGTGAATTTCATTGGAAATATTTTTTTTTTTTAGAGTTTGAACAGAAACTCTTTAAAATTATTTTAATAGATCAAATTTTTAGAAGCTTTAGATTTATCGAGTTTGATATAAAATATTAATTTCCGTATTAAATTTTCCTCACCATCTTAATATACTATTACTCTTAAAAAGATAATCCTAACGTTGAAATTATTTGTAACTTGTTTTTAAAATAAACTTTTCTTTAAACTTTTCTGCGCCCACGACAAGTGCAAATAATGGTTTGTTTTATTACTTACGTTTGAATTTTTGCTTGATTTGTTGCAAAGCGGGCAAAGGGATTTTTGAAACGACAACGGTGCAAGAAACGTATTCTTCACCCATGAAATTAATTAAATCTGCCTACTTCACGGAAACAAAAATGCATATAGGCCGATTATTATGACATCGTCCTTCCCAATTATATATCTTTGTAGTGATTTGGGTCTAGCCACATCAATTTATAAATTGATATAATTTTTTCATTATCATGTGGATAATTTTTAAAGAAATCGTCCCTTCTAAAGTTGCTAGATTAATTTTTTTAAAAGAAAAAATAATAATAAATCGTCAGCTTTGAAGTTTCTTTTGATATATTGGTAAAGCATTCCGAACACACAGATAAAATTTGTAAATTTGACAAAAAAACTTTATATTTAACATTACAAACATTTGATTAGTGCATTGGTAATAAGCAAACGTCATGCTTGTTCCAGTTTTTTTATTAAAAAAATTATAATCAATAATAATCCTATAATAATTGATGAAAAAAAGAAAAAAACAAATGCAAGAATATCGTTATTTCCGCCCAATATTTGCGGACGTTGGACATCCATTTGTCAATGTTCGACAAAATTTATGAGATCCGAGCAAATCTTTTCTTTGTCTGTGAGGATTATATTAAACTCGGAAGTTCTTGCCGCTCTTCTCGCTTGTGTTGTAAATTTATCGTCGGATGGGATTACAATAATACCAATTGTATCTTTGTGGTATCTGGATAGTGTCCCTTCCAGTTCACGAACGACTTCAACCCCAATTTAATCACGATCATTTTTTTAATTGCCATCTTAATTGTACAAAACATATACTATGATTAGTTATTTACCGAGTTTTCTTCTTCGGTCCTTGCATTGGACCACAAACGGGAATCTTGCAAGATTCCCAATTATGTCAACACCACCGTCACCTGGTGCGGGACTAAAAAATAGATAAATAAAATAAATGAGCATTTGCGTCATCATCGTCAAGAATCAAGGAAGAACGTTCACAGTTGTATATACTGCGGCCACGAAGCGCTTTCTTTCAATGATCCATGTATCCTATTCACCACATCAGCCCCCGGGGTGTCCTTATGCGCGCTTCTTTGAGCAAAGAAACTGTTTCAGGTATTCTACCAAGGCTTCGCTTAAGTGTTATAGCTGTAGCTTTTCGGAAACGGGGAAGAACGTTCACAGTAGGCCGTCCACCGTACGCCAGGTCTGAATACCTGACTGGTAACTTTCGCAAACTGTCGCCTCGAAGAGCTTTCATTCCCCGATTTTACACCTAGTGGCAGCGTAACTTCAAATACATAACAACTTAACAAATAACTCTGTGATATTCACCTTATCATATAGCAATCTATGTTCATACTCCTCAATATTCGACAAATTTCCCTTTCAAATTTCTTTCCTTTAGCTACGGAAGATAACATAGTTATATATTTTTTCTTTATTTAGTTTTATTTTTTTTTTTAAAAAAAAAAGTAAGAAATGAAATAAAAAGTTACTTCCCTCTTCTTAAATATCGACATATTTACTTTTTTTTTTCTCTCTCTCTGAACGTGTCAAAGTCGTTTAAGTTCAAACCCACATGTATTGTACTGTTACATGTACAGAATCGATTTATCCAAATCAAGTAATCATACACTTTAAAACATATTTATACCTATATAGTTTTGTCAGGAAACGAGACGAAAATAGAAAGTTGTGAGCTGAAGAAATAATACAAATGAATAATAAATGAAAAACTTTAGAAGAGATTATTATCCGGTTCCTTTATAAAAGTTTCGCATTTTCTCTATCTAGTACTTTGAAGACAAGAAGGAAATAAGGATTTGATAAAGCGATAAAATTCTCACGAAACTATGAGTCATGCAGAATTTATGTAAACGATATCATCATCTTATTTGTTATATTTGTGATACTTTTAGTTTTATAAAAATGATTCTCACGCATCTATGAGTCATATGAGTCATGCCGATAACAAACAAATTTTCGATAATCAAGGAAAATAATTTGTATTACCTTATTTAGTTATATTGGATGAACTTATATTGTAAAAATTCATTATTTTTTTTTTAGTATACATAACATCAATCCATTTAGCTATTATTGACAGCTGAATAACTATTTGCATAATAAATAAGAGTAAGTAATCAACCTTCTGATCATTTCTACACATATATCGTGCTTTATAAAAGTATGTAGTTTTATTATATTTTCAATCAAAATTCGAGATAAATTATTAAAGATATTTATGGAATATTTTACATAAGTTCAATTATAAAATAAATCTCTTCGGTCATTTCTCTCAATTAGATCTTGATATTGTGAGAAAAAGTTCCTTATATTTAAGATGTGCCGCTCGAACAATAAATAATTCATTACCGATTGAAAATCCGCTTTTTGCAGTATATTTTATCATTCATGAACTATAAATGTTGCGTAATCACAATTTTTTTTAACTTATTAACGAAACGAAAAAGTGAACAAACGCGTAAGATTTTGAATACACATCTAAAAATATAATTTAGTTAATAACAATAATTGAAATGGATCAAAGTTTATGATAATAAATCAATGTAATATCAATATGGTTTGAGGAAAAATTTAAAGAGAAAAAAAATTCTAATAATTTTTAAAATAATTTTTAATTATAAGTGTTTTTAAGAGTTTGTTAAAATAAAAATTTCGTAGAACAGGCATATAGTGGATAATACTTATATTCCTATATTAAGCCTTAAACCCCAAATTTATTTTGATATGATACTAATGATTACACTTATTGACATGAAATATTATCACTGATAAGAAAGTAAGAGAAAATTTTGAAGGTCAAAAAATGAATTCTTTATAAACCCGGGGCACCGATTAAAAAAAATAAGGGTATCTTGTAAAATGTGCTAATTTTATAAAAATTTCTTTTTGTAAAATTATTGTAATAATGATTTATTATTTAAATTAATACTAAATTTGCATTGAATATTCCAAAACCCTACGTTAATTTAACAAAAATCGTTATATATTTACTTAAGGAAAATTTTGAGATGCCTCATATATAGTCGAGAATGTAACAAGACTAAGCGCTAAATATATGATCTTCATCCATAACATTATTTGACATTTCTGCTTCTTTATCATCTACCCTAAAGGGTAATATTTAACGCGTGTAAAAGTAAAAACCCATTCTTAATTTTTTCGTTCGTCACGGGTTGAAATATTGATGTACATGTTTTGCAAATGCCATGTTGCTAATATTACATGATGAAATCTTTTCGTTCTTCTTTAAAGCCCATATTAACACTTCCAACAAATCGGCGATGGTTACCATTTTAATAATATCTATAAGAGAAAATCAAAATTGGTTATCTTTCATCTGAAGAACATTGATCCTATAAATCATTATCATGGTGGCAATCTTCTTTTTTAAGAAACCCATAAAATCTTCGGTAATCGATAATTCTCTTATAAATTTTCAAAAGCATAGATACATCTGAACTTTTGAGCTCCCCATTCCATAAACTGTTTACATATTATGAGATGTCTTTCAAAAACAGTTGGCATTAATTTTTGAGCTATATATTCTACACTTGTTGCATCAGAATACAATCTTCAAAGACATTCCTGAATGATTGAGAACTAACAGTTTAAAGTTTTCTCATGGAGAACCGGTAATATAATGTCAATATTTGCTTCAACCGATTTGCATATGTTGTTGTAGGTCCAAAATGTAAGCATTTACATCTGCTACTTGAGTAGTTGAAATTTCGCTATAAAATCTGAAAAATAGATCGAGTTGATGTTGTAAATCATCATAAAAATTTCTAAGTTTGACAAATTCACAAAACATAAGGTTTTCTTTTGGAAACTTCTGCATCGAAAGTTGAATAATTTTTCATCAGGATATTCTAGAAGTTGTTGTAACAAATTTACATCTATCATTTGTTCATGAAGTAATCCTCCGAGATAGTATTTATAATAAATGGGTTGGAATCATGTTTAGAAACACTTCATCATCTCGTAATATAATTTGCCAACATTAGGTTTTAAAATATGTGGGAAATTGGGAAAGATAGATATTAGCGATTGGTCTTGAAATATGGTATAAGCATCTTCACACATTCTAATTATTTATTAATAAATTAATTAAAAAAATTAGATATATGTGATTACGGCTTGAAAAGAACTTACGAATTTTGAATTTTGAAAATTTTCCTTTGCAATCACAAATTATATATATATTAATTTGTTGGAAATTATCATTTAATATTTCTTTTTGAATTTCTGAACATCTCTTTGTCCTTTCTATTGCAATTTCTTCAAAATCTAGTCAAAATAATACCTTAATAAAGCAAAGGATACATTCATTCTAATCGTTCAAATACTGCAATAAAGGAGAGTAATTTTCGTTCAAGTCTTGGATTTGTCCACTTTCAAATCGACTTTCGAGTAATAATAAAGCGCGACTCCAGTAGCCACAGAAACTTCATCGCGATTACGTTTTTAAAGTCTTTTTAAATGATACTCTTAGGTAGAAGCATCGTCATTAGTAATATTTTCTCGTACTCGATCAATAATGACTTGAAGATGTTTATCCAATGTTTTATCACTCCGGAGAGTCCACGTTATGACATATTTGAATTAACCACTCTATATCAACTAATTTATTAAATCGGAAAATATACAATTTATATTATTTAACATTTACCTTGGAAAGTTTAAATAAGTTTCAAAACTCAATGCCTTAACATAGTTACTAATATTTTCAACCTCTATCAATAAATTGAATAAATAGAGGTTATAAATGTGGAGTGAGTAAATATATCATATTTCCTGTGATAAGAAAAATCACATGAATTATATAAGTCACATGTAATTGTGACGTATAAATACTGTTTTTTTTACATCAATAAATAATATCTTTTACAAATTATTTTTAAATTTTTATTCTTAAAAAATGAAATCAAAGAAGACCGTAAAATTTAATACTGCTCGTGAACTTTTAAAACAATCCATTTTTACAACCTAAAACATCCATAAACATTGACATTGAAAAAGAAATTTATTCCCGTGCAACAAATTCAAGATTACAATAAGAAACCATTACAAACTTCAAATTACAAATCTTGAACCACATGATTTACCAATTAATATGCCTTTCAATCATTGTAGTAAAGAAAAGGCTCCGATGTTTAATAATTGTCACTTTCAAAATGTTAACTTTTACTTTATATATAATAATAAATGCTTGGCATGTAATAATGTAATATTTTTTAAAAAATGCTTTTTACTATATCAAGTTTATTAAATAAAATATATTAAATATTTTGCGGTACGATTTTCGTTTGATATATCATGGTAATTGCGTCATGTTGCTATTTTCACGGAAAATTCACTCCGATAGTGAATCCGGTAAAATATCAATATTGAAACATCACGGGCGAACAATTAGTAAGCGGGTAATATTGTACAATATACATTTTATCTTTTATTTGATAAATTACATTTATATGAAATTTTTATTAAATATAACAAAAAAAAAAATAGTTTCGTACCATTACAAAATATTCATAACTTCGACATCGCAACTATTTAAGATAGTTTTATGAAAAATAAATGATCACGAATTTCAATTCCCGCGAAAACCCAACATAAGCAATTTTGCTTGATTTCTTTGATTAAAGTGTTCAAATTACCAAATTATACCTTTATAAGTGAAAAGAAGCGCGTCTTGATATGATTAAAAATCATAACTTATAACCACTCAAGCTAGACCTCTAAAATTACTATGCAAGTATTATATACCTTATGAACGTTAATTTTCATTGACCAAATCACTAAAATTTCCTTGTGAAATTCTATACAAAACAAAAAACGCGTTTGTTGAAATTATTTAAAATATATTTAAAACATAAAAGAGAAATAAAAAATTAAAAAAAATTTATTATTGGTAATTATTATAATTAATTAATGTGGCTAGTGATGAACCAATCAGTCCAAGATAAGGATTTGAGCCCCCCGTCTAAATTTAAGTTTTCCATATTCTTTGGCACATTAAAATTTTATATTTGAAAATAAGGTGATTTTTATTGCTTTTTATTTATTGACTCATGTCATTTGACCTGGATCACGTGATCATATTTCCGTAACACTCTTTGATTAACCTCAAAAGCTTTTTTATAATTTAGTAATATATTATTTTCCTTATTCGCATATGAGTTTTAGCCAGATATAAACTATTTACCACAGTTATTCGGCACTTCATGCCTCGTAACTATTGAATATTTATTATATTTGGAAATTAATAATAAGTATAAATACTTTCAGATCAATGGTATCATTTGAATTTGTATATTCAATGAAAGTTCATTATTCAATCCAACCAAGTATTTTGCAAGAAATTACAATTTATGTTGCTTCTGATTGGTTATTACCACTAAAAGATAATCTATCAGTATTCACAAAAAAAATTAATTTATTAAAATAATTGCTCAGGAGACACAACAGAACAGATTCTGTTTAATTTACTGTTCAAACTATTATTTTTAAAAATATAGTATATAAATGGTATAACTTTGATGCACTGTTGTGACATTTATTTCTTTATCTATTTTCAAAAGAAAAATACGACTTAAATGCGAAACATGCCCAGAAATTATGACACTGAATATAAAAAAAAAAAATCATCAACGCTTCTTGAGGAATATTTATAATAAACCAGCTCGAGTTAATTCAACAGATTAAATATCAAGTAAATGTTAATTAAATTTAGTATACTATCAGTTCTAGTTAAAGGTTTAATAGTTTTTTAATACAATAAATAATGAATTAATTTTAGACTACAACTATAAGTTAATACGCAATTGCAGTTGTCGATAAGGCGCCTAGCAATAATTTTTTTTTTTTTTTAATTTTAAAAATATGAAATTATTTTTGTAAATCCAATTTAAGAAACCATTTTCAGTTCTAAAAACATATTTATTTATTTACATTGTAACGATAATATTTTTGTTTCGAAATAGTACAAAAAATTTTAAAATCATTACTAAATCTTGTGATATAAAAGAAAGGGTTTCTCCTAATTAAATTATTCTAATACTTATCTAATAATACAATTTAACGTCACAACCTGAAAAGTTGTCTTCATTTTCTAATTCAATTATTTCACTCTCATCATTTTCTATAAAATTAAAATGACATTTAGGATCAATACCATTAAGCTCTAAAATTACTTGACCAATATCTGGTCTCTCATCTGGTTCATGTTCCCAACATTCTATTAAATTAAAGAAAAGATTTAATAAAAAAGAATAAACCTATAAAAATAAAAATAAAATTATTCTTTACTTTGATAAAGCTTAACAAATACGTTATTTGTGGTTGAAATGGGCTTTTCTCTTGCACCTTTAAGAATTTCAATCTGAATAAAAGAAGTATCACCTGTCGTTTCAAAATTGAAAGGAGACGAATGACTTGTCAATTCCCAGAATAATACTCCCAAGCTATAAATATCAGATTTTTTGTTTAAGTTATATAAAGGATCTTCAAAAATTTTAGGATCCATATAAGGTATTACACCATGTGCTGCTTTAGTATCTGATCCTTGTAGACACGAACGTCCAAAATCAGCTAATTTTATTGTACGTTGATGGATTAAAATGTTATTGGAATGCTAAAAAAATAAATAAAATCAATAATAATACAATTAAATCAAAACATAAAGTATAATCAATTACTTACAAGGTCACAATGTATAATTTCATTATCATGTAACCATAAAATTGCACTCGCAATGTCGTTAGCAAATTTCAATTGACTTTCCCAGTAAAAATTTATGGCATTATCTCTTAAATAATTTCCTAATGTTCCGCCATCCGCATATTCAAGAATAAGTTCATAATTTATTTCATCTAAATAATATAAGAAAAGTGAGCAAGTACTTCAATAAAATTACTAAAGAATAATTCTTTTACCTTTTAAATTAGTAATTCCGTAAAATTTAATTATATTTGGATGAAAATCAACTTTTTTTCTCATTATTCCCATTAAATGAATCTAGTAAAGAATATAATTAATCGGAATAACAATATATATATATTAATAAAACTTTACAAGTAATATCAAACCTCGTTTAGAATCATTTCTTTCGCAGAACCTTCGGCAAATTTTTTAATTGCAAGTTTTGTTTGAGTATTTTTCCAACATACATCGTAAACTGAAGCTGAATCTCCAGAACCAATTACAGAAAGAACCATAAAATCTTGAGAGTTATGATAAGGAATGTCACAACCTTCGTGGCGCAGTTTTACCGAATCCACTTTAAAGTTTGTGGTATCATGTGACTATTACTCGGGGTTCCGAAGAAAATTTCCTTTTTCGGGTTAGTATTCGGGAAAAAAAAAAACCGGTGAGGATCTTCCTTTCTTTCCCCGAAAGCAGATTTTAAACATTATTGTGTAGCACATAAATGAACAATTGTAAGTTGTGATCTCAAAATTTAGTTTTTATAAATAATTATTTTCATAAAAAAACATTAAATGTTAGAGTGAAGTTAAATTACAACCACTCATAGGTTTAATGAAATTTTTAGCGACTTGGGTTGACTAGTATGAAAGTTGTTAACGTTAACATCAAAGGAACTGTTTATTATTCCGTTGGATTTGATAAATTTCGAAATTATTACAATACAAAGTCTAATCTTGCAAAATTATATTTCATAGGAAGTGTAATGAAGAGAGTAGGAAAGGAAAAAAAAAAAAAAAAAAAAGTAAATTTGTTCATACATATAATGGCTTTCCCTTGTGAGCTATATTAAGATATATTAAATTATCTCAATTTCTGTGTAACAGCTTAACCCATTTAAGATTAGGAATAAGATTCAAATGAAATTATGATAATTAAAATAAAATAAAATATATTCCGGCATATTGCATAATATGATATATGGTTGCAATAGAGAGGGGAAGCTGTCGGGAAAAATAAAAAATAAGTTAATGTTAAATCATATAATTCTCTTTATCCCTTTCATCACATCCTCAAAACAAGAAAAATTTTATCTTAATACGCGAATTAACATTAAAGGCTAATTGTTTAAACCTGCACCAGCAAACTAACTTTTTGGGAATTGATTGTATGATAAAAATTCTGAAAATTTCTTAATTTTTGAAATGATCTATTTTATTTTTTAATGTATAGTACAAGGTAATATTAGGGTGAACTATTGTAGAAAATTTCTAAAAAGGATAATCACTTATCTAAAATAAGTAACTCTTGTTAATTAAATGGCTAAAATTGGGACCGGAACTGGATTCACGAGTAAGATTATTGATTTTAGTAAATACTTCATCAAACATTATCACAATTCTTTTCGTTAGAACTGCTGTTAAAATCTTAAAATCGAGTTACGAACATAGTAAATCATATGATCCGTAAAGTGATATTAATAGCTTACCTCCCATTTATTTAATAAAATTAAATGATCATAAAATTATGTACTGTACTATATAGTATTGAATCCATAAAAGTTATTTACAATTATAAGAATTGTTATCAGATGAATAGAATATGGACGCTACGAATCGTTAATTTTGATGACGTACGGTACGTAAGTTTTTATCGTATCAATTTCTTTTCCGGTTAAGGTGGTAAAAGAAATTATCTGCTTGAGTTTTGGCAATGGGAGGGACAAAAAAGACCGTTATCAAAACTTGGCATTTCAAACCTAATGATCAACATATTAGTTTTGAACAATATATAGCAGATTGTCATTATTCTCTTGAGAACTAGGTATTATTACACAATAGTTTCTAACATTTAATTCTTCTTCGGGAGCATATCTGTAACAAAAAAAAAATAATAATAATTAAATCATATTTTTATGAAAACTTACCGCAACGAGTTGTTTTATAGGACCTGGTTCATGTCCTCGCGGTATAAGAAGAAAAGTTATTGTTTCGTACCAATTAGTACGACCCTTTTATTTATCATCATCAACAGTTCAACATGATATCGAATCCTTCACCATATTTTCGTATATTAAAAATCTGAGCCCAATTAGGCCACACACATTAGCATTTTCGGTTTACGTCACCCGGGCCATTTTTAAAATTTAATGTTACGTGAACTGAAAATGCTAATGTGCGTGGCCTTCCTTACTTTTGCGATGTCTCCAAATAGTGTTTTTGAAATTTCTACAAGAACTTTACCAGTACGCTTTATCATATAAATGAAGTTACATAATTACGTTTTTGAACAATATCAAATAAGTGAAAACTTTAAAATTTGGATTGCTTTCAAAAAATATGATTTATATAAGTTGGCTAAGTCGTTTTCCATTCATCAGCTTTTCTGATAGGTCCAGATTATCTATCAATTCAAAAAAATTTTCATATAAATAACATTATCTACATTCGGTAGTGAAGAATCGTTTATTATTAAAAATTTTAATATCAATACCAATTCCATTGAATTATTATATTTTTTTTTTTTTGCGTTCATTCATAAGATAATTCAATTATAGAAGATAATCGTAATTTTTCTTTTACTTTATTTACTTAATAATTGATAATGAACGCAATCGACGTGGAAAATTGGTTGAAACATGATTTCTACAATTTACTAGTAGCAGCAGATGAAAGAAAATCACCGATATATCTAATTAATAATTAATTTTTTAATATGGAAGTCAAAATCCAATGCGGTGATTCTATATATTCTCAGATCGAATCTCTACAATATTTTTGGATCCAAAGTGAGTTATTGATTGAAAACTCGTCATATAAAATTAATAATCGGAAAGGACTGATTATCTCCAAATATAAAAGTTGAAAAATTTGCATAATGGATTCTTCTAACGCAGGAATCTAATATTAATGTATTATTAAATGCCATTTTAATGTATGGCGTCATTAAATTTTGAAGAAGGTATGTCTGTACATAAGCGTGTAAGATCCATTTTACATACGAACTTGCTACCTTTGTAAATATAAGCTTGTTAAAACTTTATTTTTTTTTTTCATAAAATTTACAATTATTTGCACAATTCTTTTTGAATTTTGTTGGTCTTGTACGTTCAGTAGCTTTTTAGTTGCCATATTGCTAAAGTAAATATTGGTTTGCTTTAGAAAAGTTAAATTTGTATTTTTAGTACACAATATGAAATTCAATGACGCGTTGATTAAGGGAAAAGTAATGATTTTTTTTGAAAAGATATAAGAAAATATCATAACGATCTGATTAAAACAATTAATAATTTTTTATAATTATATGACATGCATGGGTGGTTGATTACACCAGATAATTTCATTTTTTTTAAAATAAAAAATTTTGTTTAATTGTAGAAGCCAATTGCAACTCATAATTTTATTATAGATTTAGTAAAGATTTCTATTTCACTGAATATATAAATGATTGATTAATCACACATTCAACAAAAATTAATAAATTTAACTATAGGACCCTCAATTCTATGAATTGTTTGGTGAGAACCAACCAAATTCAAAAAAAAATTAGTAATTCTATAAACATTTCATAATGAACATACTTTACTATATCTCCATGGAGCGCGATAACAAAATATCCAAACGCGTATGAAATCTGGATAAAATTTTCGATCATTGATTAAAAATTTCATTTCGGCTTGAAAAGTAATTGTTCTGCTTTATTATCGTATTTTGGTGATTTTCTTATAAAAAAAATAAGAAAATTATTTTTTAGGAATAAATAAACATCATCATTTGAAAATACTAATACAATTACTTAATTACTTACGAATCTGAATCTGAACTTTCAGGCCATTCAACATTTGCCGTTTCTTCTAATATTTCACTACACGGAATACGATTATGTTAAAAAAAAAAAAATTTTTTTTAAAAAAAAAAAAAAAAAAAAAAAAACCTTGTCTTAGTTCCCTCATCATTAATATATTTTAATAATGAACGTCCTTGATTAAATAAATTTTGATGATCAAAAGAAATTCTATATCTTTCTTTCAATGTTTTAGGCAACAAGAGAGTTTTGGAAATTTTCTTTCTTGGCTTTGGTGGAACTTTATTAACTTTATTAGCAAGTTCTTTCCTTTTCTTTGGAATTAACTGAAAAACTTCATCGGTTATTGACCACAATTCACGATCTTTTTCGGTTGCATCTTTCATATTTAATCGAGCCTTTTTATTCTTAAGACATCTCGGTGAGAGACTTTCTAATTGATCCGTTATTTTTTTAACAGACTTTGTTGGAAAATAATTTTCATTAATTCGTTTCAGACATTCTTTCCGATTTTCTACATATTCATCTACATGATCTTTCAGCACATTCATCAATAAAATATCATCTTCAATTGTCCAATTTTTTATACTTTGTTTTATTTTATCAACTAACGGATAAAATTCATCTGCTTTCGCCCAAAGTTCTTGCTCTTTTTTCTCATCTTTATTCTTTCGACTCTTTTTACCTAATTTATACAAATTACTTAAATTATACGCTTTACACGTTACATTCCTCACAGAAAATTGTGGAAAATGATTTTCCCGAATTCGTTTTAAACATTCGTATTGCCCTTTTATATACTCATTTATATGTTGTTTCATAAGTTCCATTAATAAAATCTCTTGCTCAATTGTCCAAATTCTTTCTGGCTTTTTTATACTAGAAGGTTCTTTAACTTTGACGTGTTCTTCAGACATCTCACTACACTCTTCATCTAAATCTTCAACTATATCATCTTTATCTTCTTCCTCAACTTCATCTTCATGATCTGTTTCTTTATTTTCACTTTCCAATTCCATTCGATTTACGGTTCGATTGTCATCGCTTTGTTGTTTTTCATCGCCACCATCACCATCACCATCATCACCAATATCACTCTGAAATTTTTTTTGTCTTTCCATTAATTCTTGAACTTTCTTAAAATAAATCCAATTATTTTCTGTTTTCCGTCGTTCTTTATAATATTTTTGGTGTAACCTTGTCCATTGGTTATAAATTTTTAAATGACTATACTTATCCTGAAATACAACTTTACTCAGCCACTTGTAAAGGTCTCTTTTATTATATTGCCACTGGTAAAAATTCACGGACAAATATTCGAGTAATAAGGTGATCTCCTCTGGCTTCCATACAAGTGTTTTTGTTACTTTGCTAGTTGTAGGATCAACATTCACCTGACGAGGTGCAAGGAATTCACAATCATCTAAATTTGGATGTACGTATTGAGGCATCATCTTTTGCCTCTTGTGATCAAAGTAAATCGGAAACGGAGCTCCTAGATAATTGTCTGAGGAAACTTTTATGGTAGTTGAAGTTTCCATTTTTTTTTATTTTTATTTTTATTTTATTTTTTTTTTAATTAATTAAAAATTGGACGTCTGAAAGAAAAAAAAAAAATTTTTTTTTTCACAAGATTTAAAGATCGTATCACATGAATTACGTCAAAACAAAAGGTGATCTACAGATCTACGGATCGTGCGCCAAATATATTTTTCTTTCTAAATTTAAAAATATTTTTTTTTTTTGTGTCACAAATAATTTCTTTCCAGATCTCTAACAAGTTATGTTTCTGACAAATCATTTATTCAAAAGAACGTTATCTAACTTCAAATTTCAACGGTGTGAGAAATTGTTTCCATATTTTAATGAGATAAAAATGTTACAACAGGAACAACAAAGAGGTGTTATATCTGGTAAAAATGAATCCAAAAACAAAACTACACATTTGGAAAGGACGAATCATTTAGAAAGACAAAAGGTATAATAAAATTTATCGAACGTAATTTTTTTCGTTTTATGAATTGAAAGAGCAATTAAATGATTCCTTTTTTTGTTCTAGATAATGATTCCATCAAGGATTATAGGAATTGAACAAGAAACGCCAACGGTCAAAACATTTAAATTTAGTCCAACAAGTTCATCACTGCAATTTTCATTTCTACCAGGTCAATGGTTAGATGTGTTTCTTCCAAATGTACCAATAGTGGGAGGTTTTTCATTAACATCAACACCACAAACGTTCACGAAAACTAAAACATTTGAATTAGCAATAAAATATTCAGGTCATCCACCTGCTAAGTGGCTTCATGAACAAGCGAATATAGGTGATGAAATTAATGCTAGAGTAGGTGGAGAATTTGTATGGAATTCATCAAAAGAAAGACAAGATCAAATTGGACATGTAATATTCATCGCTGGCGGTGTCGGAATTAATCCTTTGATTAGTATGTTGGAATCAATTTGTCAAGATGAAGAAAGTAACCAGTATGAAAGAATTAAGAAGATCATATTACTGTACAGTGTAAGAACTTTTAGCGAATTGTTGTTTTATAAGAGGATTGAAGGGTTGCAACAACAATTTCCGGGATTGTTAGAGTGTAAGTATTTTTTGACAAGAGACGATCCGAAAGATGAAAGGAGGGATGGTGAATTTTATTATCGACAACGGATCAATAAGGAAATTTTGACAAACGTTGTTGAGAAAGAAAAAGAACATTTAGAAAGACTAAAGTGTTTTGTGTGTGGACCTTCTGCAATGGAGGATGATGTAATTAAATGGTTAAAAGAATCTGGCGTTGACGAAAAGAGAGTTTTATTTGAAAAGTGGTGATAGTTTTTCTATAATATATATATTTATTTAATTTGTAGAATTAATATTTAAATTAATTAATTTGATTTAATGAACGCGAAAAAAAAGAGTAAATTTTATATTGTGTTTGATTTGTTTGTGCCATTAAAAGGCTACATGCTATGTACAAAACGAGATGTTTGAATTACAGTGACATCAATGAACAAAATTCATTGTCGTAAATTAGAAATTTCAAGGTCATACCGTATAAAAGGATCGTCATCATCTTTGTCGAAAAAAAATAAAATAGATCTTTGAAAAAATTTTCGTGATCTAAGCACGTGATCACGTGTAATCCCCACGATTCCAATTTTATTTTATTGTTTTAGTACTGTGGACTTCAATTTTTAAGACGATTTTCAATCCTAAGGACGAGTGTGTTAATAATTCGGAACTATATTTGTGGGAAAAATCGAAATTCTATAATTGGGAACTTAAATTAGAAAATCAATGGAAATTGTTATTAAATCCCTGATGTTGTGCGTCATAACGAATGACGTGTATCTTAAAGTTATCGATCTTGAGTAAAATTTATAATATTTTATGTAACATTAATACAAGATTTCATTGAAAATAGAATTTATCAGTTGTAATCTATTTTTATTCATTAAGTAAACTTTGTTCTTCGTATTAACAAATATATTTCAGATTATTTACTTTTATACTTGTGGTGATCGAATTGATAAAGTGTATGTTGCATATTTGTGTAAAAAAAAAAAAAATAAAAAATAAACGAACTTGAATTTTACTTTGTGGGTATTCTAAACGTGACTTCACGTGATGATAACGTAATATAGATTTGGAAACAGCTCTTTGATTACGTATAAAATGGGGGCAATTATATTTTTATTCGTAATTTGCAGGATAAAAACCATTCTATATTTAAAATTTTCTGGTTAAAACTCACATGCGAAAGATGAAAATATAGATTACCAAATTATCCTAAAGTTTTTAAGGACCATCATCATTAATAAACGAACTACATAATTGCGTAGTATATAACTTATCAAGAAATCCATTTTATTTTACACTAAGAAATGCTCTTGAAAAAAATTGTTTTTTCATTTATAAAAGTGTAGAAGCGCTTTCGGCCAGAAAATCATATTTGCCATATAAAAGTAAATTTGATTTTTCCTGGCGATATCTTTGAGCATATAATTGAAGGTATATTTTTTCCGTTGGGTATTACGTTATTTGTCAGGTAAGACGGTGGTGAGTGTTGTTGAATTCGCAAGATATCGTAAAAAGGTCTGTTGATGCATCGTATTTTTATTTAATTTCTGTGAATTAATTTTATACTTTCTGCGAAATATATACTTAAAAAGTAGGAAGCATAGACGACCTTTATTGATTAAACAATCAACGCAAATTTTCCACATGAAATAGAAGTAAAGTGAAGCTAAAATTACCACTCTAACAGACTCCATAATTACATTGAATGATCTCAATTTCTACTAAATCATCATTACCATCACAATGTAAGTGTTAAATTTCACTAAAGATACGGTAATTATAAGTATTCCTTCTTAATATTCACTTTTATAAAAAAACCCTTCCTCTTATTGATTTTTATATCAAGTTTAAATTTAAGTATAATTCTATGGAAAGGATTTATTTGAGTAGTGGATCGGTGCATCTTTAAATAACAATTAACTTGTGAAAAGTATAATTGATATTATGTAAGGGATTAATGGCCTATAAGTTGGTCAGCTTATATTGAATAAATCTTCTGTTTAGTGAATAAACAGTAATTTAGCAAGAAATTAACCCAAAGTTTCATTCCCGCGCATTATAAATAATCGGAATATTTCAACTTCTAACTAAAGAATAGTTATTACTTCTAGTATAGCTTTCAATAAGGTATCTATTTTTAAAAGAAAATTGAAATATCATATATTGGTATATTGCAAGCTTTTCTGCCTTATCACGCTAAATACTTGGCAATTATCCTCATCAAAATCTATAATTTATACAGAGGGTTATCAAAAGTTTCCGAACGCTATTTTTGGAACGCGATTGATATATATAAAAGATAATGTTTACCTACATTTATTTGTTTATTTTGTTTTAAATAACATTTTAACTTCAAATTTCCCTTTTCACTTTTTTTTTTGCAACTTACGGCTACAACTACAACAATGGGAAAAAAAAATAACGAATTAACTGCGGAGAAATGTGGTGCGATAATTTTTTGTCGTAAAAATGGTGATTCATATAGTAAAATTGCAGAAACTTTAGGATGTGGCAAAACAACAGTATATGACACATTGAAAAGGCATGCTGAAACTGGTTCTACCCAACCTTGCTGATCTTGAAAGGGATGTTAAAAATGCATGGAAATTGATTCCAAAATGTGTAATTGAAAATTTAGTCGATAGTATGCCAGCACGAATTCAGGCGGTGATAGTGGCAGAAGGTGACCAATTAAATACTAGTTTAATAGTACGAAATGTAGCCTTTAATACCCATAAAATAAAGTTATAATATAGATTTTTTATTGAGTTTTAAAAATTAAATGTTTTATATTGCATAAAAAATCGTTCGGAAACTTTTGATAACCCTCTGTAGGATGGATGGCATTACTTCTTTCTATTGTGTCATCAAAGTTCTTGCCCACAAATTTTAAAATTTGTTCGTTCGAGAATGCCCTTTTAGGATAATTTCTTTTAAAAAAAAAAAATGATCAACTGATTGGAGCAATTATAAATTTATAAATGGATGACTGCTAGCCAAATTTTGACCATATTGAGCATTCCAAATTAATAGCTACCTTTGAAGTAATAATCATGTGAAAAAGTAATTTTCGGAATCTGTCATGGATTATTTTTTCGATCCATTTGTCACTCACAGGTTAGGATTAAGGTAAGTTAGTTTCAACGTGTCAAGTTCGCAAATTAGATATCGACCACATGATCGATTTGAATCTTTGCTTAGTAATACGAGTAGTTTAAAAAAGTAAATTATATGATCCGAAATAGCAAATAGCCCACATGGTTACATGTTACACGGTCTGTCTTTCTCACGGCTTATATGGCAAACTTCCAAAACAAGTAAGGATTATTTCAATTTTCATTTTTTATTATCTTGATTTCTAACAATATTCGTAAAGTCCATATACTTGGTTAAACAATTTAAACGAACCATGGATGAGACAGATAATAACGGAATTCGTAGAACCTTTCAGGTGAATTTAAAGATGGGAAAGGAAAGCAAGTACCCTTTTGAATAAATATAATAAAACGTGTTTTATGTAGGAAAAACAAAATTCACACTCCATATGGCACCACGGGCAAGCTGATGGCTCCACCCTTTACTCGTCCAATTCCTATAATCACAATTTGGGACGCCTTAGCCCTGCTTTGGACGTACTATATAAGTCGTCCTCCCAAGAAAAAAACGACGCTCCAAGATCAGATTTCATATCTGGAAAAGATGCAGGAACTATTGGTAAAAAAAATTATGGAAATGACAGAGATGGATCTTCTATCTCGCCCAGCAACAGTAAACCTCACATTTTCAATACGGAA